TTAACCATTTAATTCTCCTGTTAAATGGAAATTTCAGTATTATTTATATTATTATTACTGAGCTAACACTCAAAATCCTTAATAGGGGTTTGGGCCCTTATATAAATATTTTAAAATTTTATAAATAAATATTAAGAAAAATTAGGTATTTTTATGCATTAAAATCAATATATATTTTTATCAAAAAATATGTAAATATATTCTAATCTAAAAAAATAAACATGTATTTTAACCTAAAAAAAATATTTTATACATCTTAAAAAAATATATCCTAAATGATTATCAAAATAATATTACTTTTTTATGACAACAAACTTTTAATCGCAACAATCAAAAAACAAATTTTTAAAGAATTTTTGCACACAATATATTACTAAAGCCTACATTATTTGATTCATAATTAAAATTAACTCATTACAATTTTGTTATTATTTTTTAAAGACATTTTACTACAATATTTTGTTCTTGTTTACAAGATTGCAATAGAATTATAATTAGTTATAAATAACTATAGTATTATTCTTTATTATATTTAATTAAAGTTTCATTTTAATGCATTTTGTAACTAATAACATAATAATTCATAGTTAAGTAGTTAAACAATTAAAATTTTTTAATTGATCTAATATTACAAATAATTAATAATTTTGGCACAAAATTTTATCCGTCGGTTTATATTTTATCAATGAAATATTATTTAAAAAAACATACATGCTTATATGTTAATAAAAATATTTCTTTAAAAACTAATAAAATATGAACTTTTCATATAAAATTAAAAATGTTATTTTATACGAAATAATAAAATAAAAAATATAAAATTGTCATTTCTTTTATATTTATTTATATATTTTAAGAATGTATCAATATTCTATTATAAATTCTAATCATGATAATCATAATATAAAATTGTCATATATTATAGTTTTAATGAAATTATTTGATTATTTAAGATTAAAAACTTTCAGATTGAGTAGTAAAATACAATAAATTAAATTATTTGATTTTAAAATATAAGACCAAATTGATGCCAAAAATAAAACACAAAGAAGTGCTTGACAATTTTTCAAAAAAAAAATTTAAAAGAAAAGCAGGAAACAAATGAGAATGAAACTGACTTGTTTCATGGCCTTGTCTCTTTTATGGGCTCCTGACATTTGGGTTATCCATAAAAATCTCTGAAGCCCAATCTATTCTCACTCCCTCTATAAATCCCTGAGCTCTCCAAGGCGAAACCCTAGAGTTCGCATTTGAGCGGCGCAGCAGAAGGTGTAAAGAGATCTAAGTTCTTCTTCCGCTCAAGGTACTCCCCTGAATTTCATCTTCTTCAATTTGTCTTCTTGTTGTTTTACAGTGAACATTTTTCCCTTAACTGTAATGAACGATAAGAGTTAATTTTTTCTGGTTACTTTTGTTGAATAATGTTTTAGATTATGTGCTTCGTCTCTGTTTATCTGTATCTTTATATGCGGAAATGGATTCTAGGTTGTTATTGACTAGCGTTTTATATTGTAGTTGAGAAGATGTCGACTTCTGAGATAGCTTGCACTTACGCTGCTTTGATCCTCTACGATGATAACATCTCAATTACTGTATCCTTATCTAAAAACCATGGACAAATTATTTATCACAGTTCTTTATCTCAGACGTTGCATTCATTAGCGTCGTTTATGATTTTATGATTCTTTGTTATGATGATTTTATGGTTAGTAAGTGCCTTTTTTGTTTATGTTTCATAGTTTTAAACTTTCAATTTTTTTCTTTCTGCACTTAATCTAAGAGCACACCGAGGAGTAATTTTATAATGGATTAATTGATTGTCCTTTTTAGTCTACTTTCACGCGGACATAGTTGAGGTATAAGGACTTCATTGTAATTTTGATTGACTGCTGATTGTTCACATCAAGAAAAATTCATTTGTTGAAAGAATTTCTATAGATCTGCATATTCTGGGAGATTTGTTTGTTCTTTAATAGTTTGGTACAGCCAGAGAAGATTGCCACTCTCTGCAAAGCTGCCAACGTGACAATTGAGTCTTACTGGCCAGCCTTGTTCGCCAAGCTTCTTGATAAACGCAATGTAGAAGATCTCCTATTGAATGTAGGAGCTGGAGGTGGTGGTGCACCAGTTGCTGCTGCTGCACCTGCTGGAGGTGCTGCCGCTGGTGGTGGTGCTGCTTCTCCACCAGAGGAGAAGAAGGTAAACCAGATTTTGACTTTTAAAAGATGATTTCTATTTTGAGTTTTTTAATGAGATTTGGTTCATCCAATTAACATGTTCTTGGTCAATTTTCCAGGAGGAGCCTAAGGAAGAAAGTGATGAAGACATGGGCTTCAGCTTGTTTGATTAAGAGACCTTTTTTGTGATATCTTGTTTTGGTTTATGGAACTTAACTTTAGTAGCTTTTTGAACTATCATTAGTGTTTTGATTTTCTTCCTTATATGAGTTTATTAGAGTTGGTTTCTGAACAACTATTCATCATACATACAGAAGTACTTAAGACCTCATTTTGGTGGTTACTTGTCCTATCAAGTATTGCATTGCTAAGAATTCATGCTTGGAGGTAAAATGTTTTCTCCAGCTATATGATGCTATCTTTTCTTCTTTGAGGAGTTACATGATAATGATACTGTCGTTGATGCTGATGCTTGGCTAGGAACATCAGTAGCTTGCACAAGCCTTTGAGATTAGCTGCTTCATGTGATGCCTTTGAGAAATAAGGATTCAACCTTTTAGATTTGGCAGAAATTGGTTGAATGATATAAAAACCTAAATTCCCTGATTCACAGGCTCGTTATCTTTGTCATGATTATTATCCTTGGTACTACTATAAACGCAAAATCTGACCTCATTTGCTCCTAAATGCGTAACACCAAAATTACAAACCTGAAATTTCCCTTTTGGCAGTTTTTTCCCATAAGAAAACGATGAATTATCGTTCTTTGATGATGTGCTCAAATTCTTCTCTTTTCTCAAGCGGAACTATTATTTCTTGGTTTTTGGAGTTCTTGTGCATTTTTCATCCCAAGTTTACAGGTGTTTTTCCTTAAAAATGTATGCCGGTTCCTTTGTGATTCAACAGTGAATTAAGTGGGTTTTGGTCCAAGTGTAAATGAAATTGGCTGTGAACTACTTCTGTAGTGAGTTTAGTTTTTTGTTCTGTTTGGTAAATATTGATGAAGAGTTTTAGGATTTGGTTGGATAAATTTCAGTGATTGATTAATTAATTTATAATAATGACAGTGATTGAATGGCAATAATACAGAATTATTGGATTAATAAAATTTTTTTATGTTTGAATGATGGTATATTAATGTATGTTAATAATATTTTTTGTTTGGATGGTAATATGGTTGTATTTTTAGTTAAATTATTAATTTATTTTTAGATATTATATTTAATAGTAAATAATATAAATAAAATATGTAAAAAAAAATTATTTATTAATATAATTATATTTGTATTTTAATAAATAATTATTATACATAATAAACTTAAAATTTCATATTATCATATTAATTTAATAAGTTTTTAATTGTTAGAACTACATAAAATTAATTAAATTAGATGATGGTATAATAAAAAATAAATAGAATGTTTATCAAATATTGTAACAGCCCCGAAAATTTAGAATGAAATATGTGTATTAAAAATGTCAAATGCGGAAGCGTAATAAAAATTTTGATTAACATCCCTTACACTAAAATTAA